TGGTAAACGCTTTACTGTCCCAACTTTGTCTGGAGTATGTTGCAGCATCAGAATTGAAGTGAGTGTTTATTGTGAACACAGAATAAAGTTGATGGTTTCACATCAAATAATGGGCTGTTGTGTTGTTCTCAATGTGATACAGGACACAAATCACACATCACTATTTTCAGTTTTAATTTTGATTTGATATACCATCCCAGTGTTTTCTGATTTGGAGTTGTACAAAAACAAACTCGCCGAGCGAATGTGCATATTTTTGAATGGAAGCTCTGACTCAACATTCTGGTTCATCACCACATTCCCAAACCTTCAGAGCCTTATGATGCTTTCACTCAGGTGGAGCACGGCCAAGAATGATGTCAGGATGTGTCATGTGGCTTAACAGCTGAAAGCATAGAATTTAGAACTGAGGAGCCGAACACTGGTACATTTCTAACAAAGTCCTGACATTTTATGAATATATCAGCCAGTATACAATCTTTTTTCCTCATATTTCCCTCACCAGAGTTTAGCTACTGGTTTGCACATTTTCACATCAAGTTTTTCCATGGGAACTGCTGTCTGCATGTTTCAGGCCGGTAAGATTTGAGGCCCCAGGTCAGTCATTATTTTAAAAGATAATGCAGGAAAGGTTGACGTTGAACCCTTGTTGAGCAGTCTGTGGCTCTGTTTTGTCCTGCTGCTTCACCACCATGTGTGCATGACTGAAGCACACTAACACAATCCTGTCACTAAACGTTGGGGCCTCAGTGACAGAATGCCAGTAGTTATTCTGATCGACTGAGGAAACAGTGACGGTGCTAACTGTGTGTCTCTGTGCACAGGTCTCCATCCCGTCGTCTCCCTCACTGTGTGAAGGTGCCATCAGGCTGAGCTCGGCCCTGACACGAGTATGGGTTCAAGGTTCAAGGATGTTATTGTCAATTCACCATATGTGCAGGATATACAGAAAATCAAAATACCGTTTCTCTCTCACCTAGTATTGGGTGCCATAACATTTAGGAACTAAAATAGAATAAAGTAGAATGAAAATAGAATAAAAAGAGAATAGAATAAGAACTGGATTGACATAATTAGGAGAAATCTAAACGGTACAGCCAATAAGCTGTGACTCAAAACCGTGTACAGTCAGTGTCAGTAGTGCAAACAATAATAGGAGATTGTCAGATGGTTCAGCATCACCAGGGCGTTAGTGATGAGGTGCAAATAGGATATGAGGTACACATGGACAGTATTGCAGATGACCAACAGCAGCAGATATCCTGGGAAAAAAACAGTCAGCAGCAGATTTACATATAACATAACAGACGGTAAAACAGCAGAGATAGTTTATTTTTCTTGTTAGTTTCCACAACAGTCAGCAGCAGATTTACGTGTGTGTTTAAAGTAATTATTTGACTATTATCAGTCAGTGATACAGCCAGTTAGGTCCCAAGTAAAGTGGAAAAATCTCAGATGAGAGCAGGCATCCTGGTTGTGAATCAGGCCAGAGGTTACATTAAGAGCATAGATGTCTCAGTGATTTACACTGACGCTGTATCTTTGCATGGAACTGAAATATGTACATCCCAAACCACCTCAGCTGTTTCATTCAGATCTGTTTCGGATACCAAAAGTCCAGTGTATTGTTTGCAGTGCACAGAACAGACAGGTTGTGCTGCCTTGGGTTTTCTCCAAAGCAAAGTCTGTCTGTGGATTGTTCTGTCTAGACAATTGTTAACCTTGTAGCCTCTTGGTGAGCAATTACAAGCCACTCTGGCAGATTCAGTTTCCACTGTTCCTCTCTCACTCACTCACTCTTACACCCCTGAAAGGCTTTAGAACACCATTTGATGTAGGGCACTATCTCCTCTCTGCTGCATCCGCCCTACCTGCTCTGCTGCAGAATGGATGCCGGCCTTTGGCCACGTCACTTTGAGCATACAGGATAAATCAGTGAACAAACACTTTTAGATGTTTTGTGCTGTTAACAGGCATTTAGACCATTAACAGACCTGCTTTAATGATAGAACTCAGGGGACTGCAGTGGTGTAGGTGGGTGAAGAACAGGATTCAGGAAGACCAGTTTGAATAGAGATCCAGTTGTTTAAAGCTCTTCAGACACCACAACACTGCGCTTAATAACAAGGAGGATGAATTGTACAGATCTATGAAGTATTCACACAACTGTAATGCTTTATCATCAACAAGCAGAGGTAACTAAATACATTTACTCAGTAACCATAACTAAGGACATTTACTCAAGTACAGTTTTGAGGCATCAGTACTGTACTTGAGTATTTTCTGCCACATCATACTTCGACTGCACTACATTTTAGAGACAAATACTGTATTTTTTACCGCACTACATTTATTTGACAACTTTAGTTCCTTTTCAGAGTCAGATGAGTAAAACAAAATATAGTATAATCATAAGATTTTATTGATCCCTGGTGGAAAATTCACACCTACTCAGCAGTATGTAAAGTACTTCAAATTATAAGCATATAAGAGAATTAAAATTAGCTCCAGCTTGACCAGCTGTAACATTAAATATGATACATACAGTAATGTGTCAATAATTATAATCCAATAATATAATATACCTTAATAATGTAATGTGCCATTCTGCATAATGAGTATTTACTTTTGGTACTTTAACTATATGTTCATGCTAATGCTTTTACTTATTTTACTTATTATTTTTACACTATAGTATTGCACCTTTTACTTAAGTAAACAATCTGAGTACTTCGACCACTGTTTCACTGTTTGACAGACCTGAAAGCACGGCTGGTGCGGAACTTTTTAGAAATTAAATGAGAATAAAATGGAGTGTATTTTATTTGGTGATTTGACGAAATTTGCTGCTTTTAATCACAACTTAGGCCCCTGGCTCATCACCTGAAGATGACTGTACAAACAAAGGGGTAATGTTTGACAGGGACTTAAGATTCGACAAGCAGATCGACTCAGTCATAAAATCTAATTTCTTTCACCTGGGGTTGCTAAGTAAAGTCGTCATTTTTTTCTTTTAATGATTTTGAGATTGCAATTCATGCTTTTATAACCTCTACACTTGACTGAACCAACTAGATTACTCAGATCCTCAAGCCAGTTTTTGTTAGAGGTGCCCAGGGCCAGATACAAACGCTGGGGTGACCGTGCTTTTATTGTTGCAGCTCCTAAATTGTGGAATGGTTTACCTTTTAATGTTAGATCCTCTACAGACTTGACAACTTTTAAATCACTGGTTAAAACATATTTATTCACTTTGGCTTTTAATACATAGTGCTGTCTGATGCTTCCTCCTTTTATCTGTTGATTCTGTGTATTTGGCCTTTTTATGTTTCTATGTTGTTTTATTTCTCTATTGATATTTTTTACTCTGGATTTGCATTGCTGTGTAAAGCACTTTGGTCGACCAGATGTTTTTTAAAGTGCTATACAAATAAATTTTGATTGATTGATTCTTCCAACACAGTCTACAGTCAGCAGGTAAACACTACAGTTAACAGTTTATGTTAAATATTAAGTCGTCCATTCACCATATGTTCCCTTAAAACTGCATGTGGTAAAACAAATGGTAAAGCAAGGCAGCTTTGTTTGTAGAGCACATTTCATACACAGAGGCAATTCAGTGCTTCACAGAGGCAGGGAAAAACAGTAACAATGTTAAAAACAATAACCATTAAAATCCGATAGGACAGAGTGAAGATAAAACATTGTTAAAATGAGATCAAATGAAAATAAAAACTAATAGACTACATAAAAGGCCTGAACCAGAAATCTAGCACCGACGGTGCAGAAGCTGCAGCATAGAAACCAAACAAAGGCACAGGAAAGGTTTTCAGTTGAGATTTGAAAGTGGCAGAGTTGGGGCACATTTAAGGTCCTCAGGAAGTTGGCTCCATCTGTGTGCAGCACAGGAGCTAAAAGCAGCTTCACCCTGTTTGGTTCTGACCCGAGGCTCTACCAGCTGAGTGCTTCTTAAGGATCTCAGAGCCCTGCTAAGTTTGGATTCTTCAAGGAGACCAGAAATGTATTTTGGCCTCATACCAGTGAGTGATTTAGAAACTAGCAGAAGCACGTTAAAATAGTTTCTGTGGGTAACCGGCAGCTAGTGTTAGGATTTAAAAACAGGAGTGATGTGGTCAGTCATATTAAAACTCTGGCAGCAGCGTTCTGAATGAGCTGAAGTTGTCGAACAGTCCTTATGGGAAGACCAGACAAAAGACTGATTCAGTAGTCCAGCCTGCTGGAGATGAAGGCATGAATGAGTTTCTCTACATCTTGTCTGGACATGAGAACTCTGAGACTTGCTGTTTGTTTGAGATGATAAAAAGCTGATTTAGTTGTGGCCTTGATGTGACTGGTGAAGCTCAGGTCTGGGTCAATTATGACACCAAGATTTCTAACTTGATTTTTTTTTTTTGTCTTTATAGCTTTAGAATCAAGCTGATCACTAACTTCCGTCTGAAGGAAATTTGACTGTATCCAGGAATTTCCTTGCTTTAAGCACTGACAGAGTCTAAGGGACCATAGTCACTTGGTGACAGAGCTAACTGAATCTGAGTGTCATCTGCATAACTGTGATAGGCAATGTTATTCTCATGTATGATCTGACCCATAGGGAGCATGTACAGGTTGAATAGCTGTAGTCCAAGAATTGAACCCTGGGGGACTCCGTGTGTCATAGCTGTCCAATCAGATGATCACCAGTGGAAACAACACAACTCCTGCCTTCAAGATATGATCTGAACCAACTGAGGACTGTACCTGATAATCCCACTCACTTTTCCAGTCTGTCAAGATGGATTTTGAGGGCTACAGTATCAAAAGCTGTACTGAGATCAAGCAGCACCAAAACTGATGTTTCACTTGAATCTGTATTCACGCAAATGTTATTTAGCACCTTTATCAGTGCAGTCTCGGTGTTGTGTAAGGCCAGAGTGAAATTTGTCCAAAAGGTCGTTTATATTTAAAAGTTGTTCACTTGAATCAAAACTGCTTTCTCTGTAACTTTTCCAATGAAAAGAAGATTAGAGATTGGCCTGTAATTACTGTATTTAACATGGAAGGAGCCAGGTTGCTTTTCTTTAGAAGGGGCTTAACAACTGTAGTTTTTTAGCGATTATGGGAAAATACCTGACAGGAGAAAGCCATTAACAATTTTCAGCATGTTCATTTTCAAGCAACTGAAACCTTTTTGAAGAAGCTGGTTGGCAGGGTGTCCAAACAGCAAGTGGATGTATTTAGGCTGTTAACTACATCCTCTAGTGTTTTAGCACTGATAGCATTGAATGTTGGCAATCTAGCCATAGTGTTTCTGTGTGGCTGCAGCAGCAAATCAAATGTTTCAAGCACAGCACATGATTCAGTTTTGTCTTTTGGATTATTAGTTTGAGGCCTGGTTGCATTATTTAACATGGAAGAACTTATGGCCAGTCTGATGTTTCTCATTTTTCACAAAAAAGATGCAAACTCATTACTCTTGCTTGGAGATAGGAAGTCATGGGCGAACTGTGTCAGGGGAAATAGTTAGCCTGCTTTTGACTTGGGACAGCCGCAGTGTTTCTTCATGTTCCTTTTTGATTGCCAGGACTATATTTTACCTCTTCAGGTGCAATGGTCTCAATAATTTCTGAGTTTTTGCATCTAAAATGATCAAGAAGTGAATCACCACAGTCTGGTGTTAGGTTTACTGACACAGAAGCAGCTTCCATAAAGACAGAAATAGTATAGTAGTAGTAGTAATAGTAGAATTTAAATACCCTTTTTAACAACAACTGAAGTGTTATGGGTAGCAGGTAAAACCGACATATCAAAGAAAACACAGAAATGGTCAGAGAGGCCTACATCCTTAATATAACCACGCTTGGTTAAGACTAAATCCAGAGTGTGCCTTTAAGGGTGTGTGGGTCCTTTCACATGTTGCAGCAAATCAAATGTTTCAAGCACAACACATAATTTAGTTTTGTCTTTTGGATTATTAGTTTGAATGTTAACGTCACTTGTTACGACAAACTTCTCAAAATCTGTTGAGATAAGAGAAACCAGCTCAGTGAAGTTGTCTATGAAATTTGTAGATGATCTTGGAGGCCTGTAAATTATTAACAGCAGGATCTTAAGTGTGCCTTCCAACACAAAACAAAGATGCTCAGAATCACCACCTAATAGCTATTTGCACTGGAATGAGTCTTTAAATATAGTAGCAATACCTCCATCTCTTCTGTCAGATTGAGAAACATAAACTTAAAGCCTTGGGCGCTGAGTCAGCGAGAACTGTTACTACTGTGTAACCACATTTCAGATAAAAGCATAAAATCAAGATTATTAGTAGTGATGAGATCAGTGACTAGAAATTACTTGTTGCTAAGAGATTGAATGTTTAATGAACCTACCTTTGTAGAACTAGTGGAAGGCCACTGAGCAGTCTGAGCGTGGCAAGGAATTGTTAACAGATTTTATTTTTGATTATATGACTGAGCACTGTGCACTAACCTCCTTTTATCAGCTATTATCATGGGGATGGAGAAAACTAGCACATAAACATTGCAGCTGTAACTTCTCTAAATACACTGGACACTCCATTCTCTGCAGTTATGGACTACAGATGTGTACAATACTGTAAGTTTGTGATTTAGTGATTTTGACATTGTTGGAATGTGTTTGCTCAAAATGTAACAAACATGTAATAGTTGCACTGCATTCTGGTCTACTAAAGCCGCTGTCTGTAGCAAACCCTGCACACTGCATCTCCCCGTGTGGTTGCTAATTCATTGTGTAAAAAACCTGCTTTTTGTGTTTAATTCTGTGTAAATGAACTAACCTTGATGTTTACAATTTGCTGGAGACTGTAAGATTCAGTTGTATTCATGTTGGGAAAATCAGTAAATGAAGAGAGTGACAAACCATCAGCATTGCTGTTTTGTAACAGTATTAAAGTGAAATAGTGTGAGTTTTCCCTTTAAGCCTCAGTCAGAGGTGGGTGTCAAGTCAGGTGTGGAGCAGAGGATCAGCCTGTGTGCTTTGAAAAGCACCATGAATGCTGGTGGTTTACCCACAATGGTGGGCTGCACTCGTCTTGTTTTGTTTTGCCCCAACACCTGCCCACATTTCCCAGACACTTTCTTGAGTGAGAGACTGAAACGTGAGAGCTGTGAACTGCGCGCCATGTCCGTCACCTATTGTCTGCTGCTGCTAATTAAAGCTTTAGGCTTCATTTAGTACTGAGGTACAATTTCCAGCTCCCAATCCCCCCGACAGAGCACAGAGAAAAATCAGTGTGGCTCAAAATCTCCTCTCTAACCGGATTCATCAGCAGCACTCTTCATAGGCTCTACTCCGTCTCCCACACCACTGGACCAACTGTGGCAGAGGAAGTCCCTCTAATTGTATTTAGTTACAGCAGTGGGCCTCGGTGGAAGAGGAAGTGGTCTGCGAGGAGATTATCATTGATTCATTTGTGCAGAGAGTATATTTGATTTTTCCTCCTTTATTCTCAAAGATGTGACTAAAGCATTTGAATATTCTTGATCATATTGTGGAGGATGGAGTGGTCGACCTGCTGAAGCAGGAACAGAGTGAAGGAAAGACGAGAAGGCCCTGTATTGATTTATGTCTTATCTCATGTCCCGTAATATGTAATGAGGTCCTCCTTGCCGAGGCCATTCCAGTAAGGTAAGTAGTGTGCCAATGTACAATGTAGTCGTGGATTCAGAGGAGGCGTGATGTGACGTGAGTGTCCTTTGGCTGTGTTGTCTGGCTCTTCTTTCCATCGGCAGAAACAAAGTCAGTGACCAGCTCGATCCTTCCTCCGCCATCTCCGCTCACTGATGTTGATTGACGAATGGTACACACACACCGCCGACGGAGGCAAAACATGTAATTAGACAAGTCACACCGTGTCCCTTTGTCCTCCTCAGCCTCTCCGCCATGTCCACAGTCCATTCTCAACCGCCCTCTTCTTCCTCGTCATCGGCTGATACAATATAATGTTTTGTTGTTTTTGTATTTTTTGTCCCTTCAGGGACCAGCAATTAGGGAGGTTCTTTGAGTGTGTCTGGGAAACACTTAATTTGACCTATTTTGTTAGTCATTTCATTTATTTTGCCAAACACAGTAATTGCCTGCCGGGGAGCCTCAGTTGAGACGTCGCTGGGTGTCTGGCCTCAGTGTGTCTCTGCATGGTTCATTGATTAGAGGTTGTCTTCACTCCCCTGCACTTACAAACTGAGTGTAAGCTGCCAGCAAATCACGAAACCAAATATGAAATACAAATGGTGAAAATTCTAATTTAGTTTATTTGCCTGACAGTAAAGTACATATGGCATTTTTGCAAAATGAAGCAATGAATTAATATAAAAATGTGTCATTTTTATCCATTTTTTGTGAATCACATGAAACTGGTGTAAAAAAAAAATAAAACAAAACAAAGAAATATATGTTTACTTGTCAGTTTTGTGTCAGCTGGACCTTCTATCTTCAATCTAACTAGGGCCGTTGTAGCATCAGTGTGGCTGTGTCAGCCGGAGCCTGTCTGTTGTCTGTTTCATAGAAAAGACTGAATAAGGAATAACTCACTTGACAGGCCCATTGATGTGGCTGTATGCGGCTGGTACACAAAGCACTTCTGAAGCTCCTCCACTTCCCACTGTATACAGGCAGCCTTTTTTCTGTGCTGCAGGCCGTGTGGATGCTCCGCGGGGCCTCTCCTCTCCTGTTTATATAAAATGACATCATCATTTCCTCCAGAAAGTGAGGAGCCACAAGAGGGGTCAGCAAGGGTGCTGACCAGTTAGGGCCTTTTCTCACACGTCCTGCTCAGACAGGAGGCTGGCTTTGTTGGACAACACTGACATGGCTGTTTGTGTGTGTGTGTGTGTGTGTGTGTGTGTGTGTGTGTGTGGGCTCACATGTCCAAAATATAAAACTCATTTGGATTTCATTTATTGGAAAAACTGCAACTAAACAAAAACTAAAAGATAAGAACACTATTCATAAAAACAACATGCAGCAGTCACATGAAAAGATGGCGTCCACCAGCTGCTCTGTCCTGGACCACTGTAGCAAAGAGTCAAGACTCATGTGTTCTGCTATGTTTGGATGCTTTTATGGTGGTGAGAGACTGGAATCTGAAAGCAGACCTGTGTATGTGTAAGGAAGTAATGTGCACAGTATCTGGTAATATGGCTGAAGGTTTACCCTCTCTGAAGAGCTTCATGTTGCTTTTTCACCACAGGTCTTAAAAACAGAATGGCGACACTAGGTTAATGCACTTTATAATGTTTACAATCGGCTCAGTAGGTTTTGATATCAGTGCAGCCCTAACCTGCAAGTGAGTGATAACAGTAGAACTGAATGCTGAGAATAAAATGAAACATGGTAGCACTGGCACGCAGATTTGAAGTCTTGTGTTGTGTGTGCTGTTTTCCTTCAGGCTGTGTCTGACAGAGCTCTCTCTGTAGCAGTGGACTGCTCTTGTAGCTCTTCTGCGAACAGTGGAGGGGAGTGCTTCTCCTTGGAGACTGTGGACGAGACAAAATAATGACATACAGTGAATGGACAAAAGCAGAACCAGATGCCTCAGATAACGTTTCTGCTGCTGCCGCTGAAGCGCCACTTCCCTCAGCATGTCATATCACCCCAAATAGTAAATGTCAATAACCATGTAGAACTTTTCCTGATGAAAGTTGATTATACATAGACACGTGCTCATCTCTCATTAACCCTCCTGCCTGCTATTTGATAATGACGGACAGAAAAGTAATTGTGTGTGTAATTAGACAGCCAATTAACACATCCAAGGTAGGGGTTTTCATTCTTCCACTCACATGCACAAAAACACATTTGTATGATTCCTCACACACAGTTTCCTTTCACATCCGCAAGAGAGAGACGTGTGTTGTCAAGCTTAGGCATTACTACTTCTCTTTCTCTCCCTTAGTCTCGCCTCCTTTTTCTCTGTCCACCCAAAGAAAGGATAACAGAGCAGTATAAAAAAACCCACCCAGGTTTCCTTGTTGGTCCAGTTCTTCCTCTATAGAAATGAGCCGGTTGTATTTAGCCATCCTCTCAGCACCGCTTAGACCTCCCAGTTTGACATAGTCCAGGCCTAGACCCACAGCCTGAGGGAGGAGAAGAGGAGCAACACACTGTCAGACCGAACCTGCAACTGAGGGATGTGTGTGAGACACACCAGGACTGGAGTCACACACTGATGAGCCTGCTGTTGTGTTTGGTTGCTTGATGAAACTGCAGGCAGGCAGGAGGACTAACTTGTGGCCAGTCCCAGCTGAGAAGGCTGAGAAGGTGATTTGATGTGGACATGTGTGTCAGTCAGGTGGAAATGAAGGCTGGTGAAGGTTTAAGATGATTAATAAGATTCCTTGCTCATGGTTTTATAGACATGGAAGGAATTTTCTATCAGAGAAAATCATCAAATATTCACAGGAGTTGGAACCAGTGAATGTTTGGAGTTGTGGCTTAAAAAAAATTGCAAACAGTTAATATATCGACAATTGACTAAAAATTGAGGTGACCCCAGGTTCAAGTCTAGCTTGTTTTTTTTTTTGTATCTAATTTGTTTAAGAGTTACCTTTAAAGAATAATATTTGCGTCATTTTGTCTTTTTATCATCATGATCAGCAATCCCACGATGCACCAACTACCAGTTTTCAGCATATTCCTGTCATTGAAGTGCATTTCTGTCCAAAGAAGAAGATGAAAACACAAAGGGCCATGTTTGCATTTGAAAGACTCAAGTAGAAACACAAAAATACATTTGTACAGTGACATCTGCAGAGCGCTCAGCACAGGTCTACCTTTTGGCCCAGAATAAAGCAAACAACAATTCCTGAGTACAAGTGGAATTTCTACATTTGATGAGGACATGATTCATTTCATATCTGAAATATCTTCCAAAATATTTAATATTGTAGAAAATGTTTCCCCATTGAAATGAAAAGACAGACTTTCAGAGGCCAGAGTGAACGATGTCGCACTCAGATTGTGACAAGCTTTCTTTCTCTTTAACTTGTCCCCTCCTCCCACAGCTTCTCTCTTCACATATAAGCCTTCAACAAAATCTGGAAACATCCTTTTTCACACTAATTAACCGTCTAAACAAACAGACTTACACATTTTGTGCTATGAGCCTCAAAGTGACACGCGTACCATCTGAATGTCCTATTGGTTCCTTTGTTATTGTTAGTGAAAATAGAGTATGCTTTCAAAAAAGATTGTGTTTTAAAGTGAAAGTAGTGCATAAGAACGAGGAAAGTGTCTTGTTATTTACTATTTATTGAAGGTTACTCATCAGTTTATTGTGGGTTTTGTCATAATGATTATAGAGATGGTTTTATCACCCAGCTTCCCAGGGTCTGCAGAAACAGCATGGTCTGTTTACTTAGTGTTAGTTCTAGCAGTTTCTTCCTCCACACTGGAGAGATGATTACTGATCACTGTAAATTCAGTCATCGTCAGCTGTACACACACACACACACACACACATAAAGTACTGTACACAGACAGCTGTAAACACAACACTGATACTGAGTATCAGTACATCATTGCCTGTTGTTATAGTAAACTTGGTGCATACAGCTGCTTATTCACAGATCAAACATAGCAATATCATCATTTCATTTGGAATCATGTTTTTGCCCACCCTGTGCCAATGTGATCCAGTATTCACACTTGTTTAGCTCTGTCTTTGGTCTCTACCACCTCCTGAAGGAAACATCTGGTCTGAAACACTGATTCCACATGTTAATTCAGTACATTTTAATTAGGAAAATATGAATTATAGCTGCTTCTAATGTTCATCAAATAGAGGAACATTCAGCAACTCTGCCCTCTGGAAGCTCATTCAGTTACAGTCTTGTGCCGTTTGGCTTCGTTGTGATGAAACCACATGAGCACAGTTCAACTTTTTGTGATATCACTATAACACGTGATCCTGGACTTGCAGAAAAAACATGGGTGGATGGTTTGTGACCACTGGACACCACTGACGCAGCTGTGTGTGTGTGTGTGTGTGCGCGTCTTGGAATTACATTACGAGGACCTGTTAACATACTCACATTGTGGGGACTCTGAGTTGTAGGCTAAAGTTAGGGTCAGGATTAGGCAAGTAGTGGTTATGGTTAAGGTGAGGATAAGTCTATAGGAAATACATGTAAATCAATGTAAAGTCCCCACAAAGAATGAAAACACAGTGTATGTGTGTGTGTGTGAGACCCTCAGAGTACATAATACATCACTATTGCAAATGCTTTGGAGATAAGTTTTCCACTATGAAAGAATCTTTTACACAGAGAATGTGGTGAAGAGTCATCTAATCAGACACATGACATGAAGCTGGCTACACATAACCACAGAGTGACGAAGAAGACTTACTATATCTGAGAGGGAGTCATCACTGCAGGACTCGCTGCATGTTGTTCCCATTAACACTGACCCTGCAGGTCAACAAGTGATGAAGATGAAGACACACTTTCACACACAATAACAACTGATAATAATCCACCACAATAGCAATAGTTCTCAGATGACATCAAGTATGATTTTGACATTAATGACCTATAGAGAGAGCATTAGTTCAGGCACTGAAGTCCCGCTTCGGCACTTACAGGCTGTATTACCATCACCAGCTGACTAGCACTGTCCAGTCACTGTTATTCTGCTGATGCCTTCATATTACTGCAGCAGCTCTGCCCCATCCTCCTCCTCATTGGCTACAGTTTTCATATGTATTTGACATGTGTGTTTAATAAAGGGAGGATTAGTTCTCTGAACTGACTTTTTGTTGCTGTTTGGATCCTTAAATTGTCAGTTCCTTGACAAAGTAAGTGTCTTTGACCTGTCTAAATTAAAAATGCTGTAAAGTGGACAAAACAACGTAGACTCCTGACCATGTTTTCGCAGGGTCATTAACCTGCAGTAAGTAATCTATTACTCTCTTTATCATTTTAAATGCCAGATATTACTAGCTGCTCTACTGGGTTAGATAACGGGGCCTTTGTTAACTGTATTTAGAATCCAGACATTTGCAGAATATTATTAATATTATTAAGGCCTTGCCCTTCAGTCGATAATGCCTAACACTCTCATCAAGGAGATAAAACTACAACTGACTGCAGCACTAACGTGCATCTGAGTTTGGCGGAGAGTCCCAGAACAAATACACACAGATGTAACCCCGACCTGTCTGAGCTGAAGACCCAGTCTGCCAGAAAATACCAAACTTTTCAGTTATCATGACAACATACTGAACTGAAATATATGCTACTAAATGCACATATTTTATTGGAAATGAGGCTGGGGAGGGAGCAGAGAGAGTTAAATGCCTGGCTGTACAGTGCTGTGATGAATGACTGCATTAACTCTTTATCATATATCATAGTTATGTATGTTTTTTTTACTTCAACTTGTCAAAAACTATTCTGTATTCTTCCATAAATGCAGAGCACCCATGGTCGACGCGCTGATGTTCTGTGTTCCAAAGGGTTTTGGACGTGGTCAGGTTAATTGATGTGCCTGAGCACCCAGCTCACTTCTGAACTAGCTGCCCTAACACAAGTGCCTTTATAAGTGAAACTGAAAGCTTCAAACAGCAAACAGTCTGTCTTTTTTTACAAGCAGTTCTGCCCTTGTTCATTATAAATAAGCCCAGAAATGTCCTGGCATGGAAGTTAAGTCGAAC